AGTTTTTAATTCTTACAATTTCCTTTTCTGCTTTTTGAAGTAGAAATTCGTAAGTTTACTTTATCGAAATCAAAACAATAATTTTTATACATTATTTTTGCTTTTCCGTCTATTCACCGCACGCCTTTAAATTCTTAATTTCTTTAATCTCAGCCCCCCCCCCTTCATTTCATTACCATCAGCCCCATTTCAAAACTCTAACTTCCTTCCTCCTTTTATTCCACTATCTTCACTTTCACTTCTAGAAATGTGCCTTTGACATTTTTAGAAATGTTTTAGTTGCAAAATTTAAAATCATAAAATACATATGGACGATTCTGAATTAAAAGACGATTTCATTTATTCCAGAGGTTTTTAGATCCAACTGTATCCCCCAGGACTAACCAGAGTGAGCAGCATTCCGCATTCGTATTTGAAATCAAACGTGTTTAGCTCTATATTTCAACAATCTTTTAACTTACGAATTTTTCATACAAAATGCATATACCAACAAAAAAGTGTTTCAGAAAAAAAGGTTAAGAAATTATGCTTAATGGGTCAAATTGTGATCGAAAGTCACAGCTTTGTGGAATATTGACAGAACTGTTAAATCCACGTGGTATATTTCCCATTTCTCAATTACACCCCCCCCCCTCTACCTTCCGTACTCCCCCCCTCTCCATTTCTCCTCCATGCAACCATCCTCTGTGTTTTATCCAAACCGCATGTTTTGCTTTGGTTTGGCCCTCTCTGAAGTCTAGAGGAAAAAATTGACAGAAACTCATTAATTGTCGTCTTTTCCGTTTCCAATAGTGACATAAATACTCGTCTCATCACTCACTCAGATGTGATTCGGTTTCCTATACTTAGGTTGAAAACATTTTAACAAATAGTTATATCAAATTTCTGTAGAAACTAACCCTTTTATGTAGATTATCTATTTTTTCGAACTTATTATTAATATTTCATGTGAAATTTAAATAATCTTTTTTTTTGAATAATTCCTAACTACCGTATTTATCTATTTATCTGTCTATCTGTCTATCTATCTTTTTCTCTGTATATTTACTCTAAAAAAACTACAGGGGGGGTCAAATTGACCCCCCCCCCAGAGGTAATAGGGTTAATAATACTATAACTAAAAGTATATAGTCAGTAGGATTGGCTCGAACCGTGCATCCTGATCAACACTGCTATGGTCGGCAGCTCCCAGCTTATCATGGCCCACAACTGGTTTTTCAAAACTCAAAATTCCAAACTCGTTAGCAGAAAAATTATTGAATTGTCCCTTTTTAACAAACTTTCCTAAAATGATCATCTGTCTATCTATCTTTTTCTCTGCATATTTACTCTCTAGTCTATCTATTTCTATTTCTGTCTATTTGTGTATTTGTATATTTGTCTATATATCTGTATTTTTCCCATATGTATATCTATTTATTTCTATATCTGTCTGCTTGTCAATCTGTATATCAGTCTTCTGTCTGCATGTCTGCATGTCTATCTGTATATCTGTCTATTTATCTATTTGTCTTCCTGTCTATCTGTCTACCTGTCTTTTCTTATATTGTCTAACTTTGGACATTTTGTATTGAATTCCTTTTTTACTGAATATATCGCATATTTGGGGAAATAAAGTAAATCCCCTGCCCGGGGGGAAAAAACCTGGGGTGGGGAAAGCAGTGGGGAAATTCCTATTTTTAAACATCATTTTTTGCTTCTAATTGATTCGAGGTTATAAAAATGGTTTCTATATTTCTTAAAAGAATTCTCAAAATTAAATTTTAAAACTTACTTTTTTCTGGTTTGGTTTTGAAATCTAGTAGATTCCTGGGATATAGAGGGATGTTAGGGAAATGGGGAGGGGAGGGAGGGGGATAAGAAGGATAAATTGAAGGGTGGATAAGTACGGGGGGATTATTGATGGGGGTAAAGGGGGTGGGGGAATGTCTGAACTAGGTAAAAAATCCCCCTCTCTATAAACTCTTTTATACTTCTCTTTTCTGTTTCGGAATTTGTCTGTTTGCTTTCTTATAGATTTACAATAATATTATTTATATTTTATAATATCTCATGATATTCTAATTTGTAAAAACACATGATCTTCATTACAAATCGTATAACAATTAGAAAAATTAAGCAAAGGAATTGAGTTTTTGCCACAAACTCTGATTTTCTAATTCCTATAACTTTGCAACCCGTTTTCCTAAACCTTTGATATTTCAACTATTAATTCTGTTAGATCAAATAGTCTAAGTTTGAAATATGAAAGGCTTACATCATCAGGTTGCAAAGATATAGAGGTTAGAAAATGTGAGTTTGAGGCAAAACTCAATTCCTTTATACAGAAAACGAATGATTACTTTTAAATTTCATTTTCTGTGATTCCTATAATTTTAACATACAACTAATATTATTGACACTTATGGGTCATTTACTTATCATAACCTTATGTATAAATCAATAACTTAAAAATCTTCCAAAATGTTGATCAGATAAAGATTTTAAGGGTACCACTGATAATTGGGCATGCTCATGTCCTGAAAAGACCACACAGCCCCCCTAAAATGCCCCCCCCCCCATCCACTTTTTCATATTTCCCCCTCCTTCTGTTGGTAATAAATGCCCTAATCCAATAAATTCTTTTAGATCAGTTCCAATCCTGTATTCTCAATATGTATCATACAGATACAACTCAATCTTCAACTCGTGCTGACTGTCAGCTATAATACTCAGTCTATATCAATCCAGATAAGACGCTGTTGTATTCTTTAGAAGGTATCACTAGATAATACTAGATCTCTATACTACTCAATTTCTATCAATCAAGATAAGACGCTGTTGTATCCTTTAGTACATATTACTCATATAATACTAGATCTCTGCAATACTCAGTCTCTATCAATCCAGAGAAGACGCTGTTGTATTCTTTAGTACATATTACTCATATAATTCTAGATCTCTTTACTATTCAATCTGTATCAATCCAGGTAAGACGCTGTTGTATTCTTTTAGTATGTATCACTCAGATAATACTAGATCTCTATACTACTCAATCTGTATCAATCCAGATAAGACGCTGTTGTATTCTTTAGTATGTATCACTCAGATGATACTAGATCTCTATAATACTACTACTACGCTCTAGGTATTCCTTTGGTCTATATCTATCTTTCAAAATATATTCAAGCGAACACTATGTTCTCTTACATGAGACAAAGGAGGATCTTGTTCAACTAATGTATATTTTGGGTTTTATGGTACATATTACGTAATTAAACTAAATCCTAGTCAAACCAATGCACGTAGTTATCAGAAATAATGCTAATACTCTGTGTATAGATAGGTTTTACGTAGTAAAATTCATGAACGTAATTAGGGTATGATATTATCATGTAATATAATATATGTCCAGGTTTACAAATATGGGGTTTACTACTATATTTATTACATGTTTATATCCCCCCCCCCCACCCAACTCATTCTGTTTATATCCCCCCTCCTCCTGTTTAAATCCTCCCTCCTTCTGTTTGTATCCCCCCTTCTGTTTATAACCCCCCCCCCTCCTTCTGTTTATATCCCCCCTTCTTCTGTTTATACCTATCCCCCCACTCCTTTTGTTTATATCCCCCCATTTCTTCTGTTTATATCCCTCCATCCAAGTTTCCTATAAGATCTACTATTTCCATCAATATTTCCATTATCTAGGATGTAAAAAGAGAAAAAGTAACTTTTCTCCCTCTATTTTTCAGAATCTAGGCCAGTTTTTCCCCCTACCCCCTCCAAGGGAGTGAAGGAGATAAAAACCACCGTGGGGGAAATCCCCCTTACAGAGTTTCATTTTATGATGGGGGAAAACTCGACACACCCTTAGGCTAATCACATTTTTTTACAAAATATAAAATGATTTTAAAATGTCAAATTCTAAATTGAATGATAGAAAAGTTTTTTTGAAAAGAACTCAGTAGAAAGTCATAATAAATTTTTTATAAACTGTATAATACAACTTTACAACTTTACTATAAAGAAAACTAGTGTTGGGGGGGGGGGGGCATTAATGGTTTATAACTCCTTCCTCTATACCTCCATGGCTTGATAGCGCAAACATTTAATAATAAACATTCAATTTTGTCCTTTCAAATACATTTTTACTCCCCCTCCACTCCCCCATTTGCTCTAATTGCGCCAACTGATTAAGCCTATTTTATCCTAAATTGAACGTACTTCTAATTTTTGGTTGTTTCCTTAATCTAAGTAAGTACATGTAAATAAAAAGTGGAACGACGTATACTAAACATAGCATAAAATAAAATGTTGGCCATCTTGCAACATTTTTAACTATCAACGTTCTTTTCTTTTATTTTAATATTCTTAAAATTTGTTCAGATTATTTTTAGCAAATTACTATACGTAAATTCTAATTATTTGTAAATATTAGATGCGCTCTTAAAGGGACTGTATTAATTAGTAAGCATAATTTCAAGTGTTGAAATGACACATAGGAATTATCACAATTAAACACTTTTAAATCTATAAAAACGACAATATCTTCCACATTATTGATCATTTAAAGGGTTCAAGGTATCGTTGTGAATCGGGCATTGTCATCTTTGTATGAAGGGTCACTTACAGTCCCTTTCATTCGTATAATTGGACTTGAGAGGTTTCGTGAATAGAGGCTGAGAGGTTTCGTGAAAAGAGGTAGGAAACGGGCTGAGAGGTTTAGTGAATTTCTACAATTATACATATTAAAAAACTTCAGCAGAGGAAATTAGAAATATGGGAGAAAGATGTAAATTATTCCTTTTACCTTGTTTTTTATCCCCCCCCCCATCTTCCATTCTTACTAAATAACCCAAACTTATGAGCATTTTTCTCAGATAAAATGTTGATAAACAACTTTTTTAGTCTGCTCTAAGAGACTAGGGAAAATTATAAGTTATTGCATTTAAAGTTTGTGCAATTTTTCCTCATCTAATATTTAAGGATACAAATACAATATTTTGGGAAAATTGACTTACATGTTCCATTTATGTTTCTGGACAAAATATTCTTCTTTTCTCCTCCTCCTTCTCTTTTATAACTTGCTGGGGGCGGAGATCTTTGGACACGCCCCTGACCGTGTGCTTGGGGTGGGGGTGTCCTTCCCCGCTTAGGCGGGGTGCAAGGGACCCTTCCGAAGTTTGAGGGGGGGCTATTCACCCCCCTCATATCAGGCGGTAGGCTAAGTCGACCTGAAATGAAATTATAAACATAATTAATAATTCTTTACCCCCCCCCCCTTCAACTCCAATCTTAAACTTGAGTTTAAAAGATTCTCTTTTTATTTATTAATTAAGTTGGTATGGCTTCTGTTGTTGCATTAGCAAAATGAGAATTAAAAACAATTATAAGCGAAGTAAAATATTATTTATCCATATTTGAAACTTAACAATCAAATCCCCCCTCTCACGGCAAACTAGACAGAAGGAAAAGGTCAAATTTCAGCAAATTACTGCTACGACTTTGGACCTTGTAGCTCCTCTAGTTTTGTTTTTACGCTCAATCATGAAAAAAACTAAATTATCCAAGTTATAATTTTAAATTCAAAACGTTTTTGATTTTCTCAATAGCTCTTCAATACGAAGACTTATGATTAAAAATTTTATAAGATTTCAATCTTGTTTAATTTATTTTAGTTTGACGTGGGCCCTTGTACCTTGTGAGGGGGAGGGGGAGATATTAAACCTATCTGGCAGGGAGGGCGGAGCACTGCCCCCACTTGAACTATATTGAGGCCGGACAGGGGGGCTGAAGGATCTTCCATTCTGAAGATGCCCCCCTCCGCTATATGGATGGGCACTCATATACACGGCATCTAGGGTTTAACAATTCACAAAATATCACTTTAACTTTAGTATTCTACTAGGTCAGGTACACTGGCAGGCTCTCTCCATTTTTCTAAAAAAACATTAAAAACCCGTTTGTACATTTCTCGTCTTTATATAAAAATAAATCCTTCTTTTCTTTAAATGTTTGACTCATTGAGCTTTCTCCATTTTATTAATAAGTACATAGCATCTTATTTTACAATAATTAAAAGTAATACTTTTTTACCTTAATTGATATTTTTCTTACATTTTTTTTAATTATAAAAATGATAAATTTACAATTATGTAATTGTAAAGGAACTGAGTTTTTTCAATCTTAGCAACCGGATTAGAAAATTTAGCTTGTGAATTTGAACCTTATTGGGAAATTTTGATGGATTATAAAAGTTTCATCAGATCCTTTCCTTATCTGCATCCTGGTCTAGGTTTCTGAAATCTTAAATCTAAATTGATAAAAACCCGAATTATTGTTGTCCTTGCTTTTTTTAAAATATGAATCCCGCTGAGGATTTTCTATTTGTTTATCTGTAACACTTCTATTCAACTTGAGCTGGTCGCATAAAAGAAGTGGTTCAATTAAGTCTACGTAGTTCAACTACTTCTTTCCATTTTTAAGATTTGGTCTCTGTGTACTTTTTTAGAGAAGAAAATGTCGATAAGAAAGATACAATATGATGTCATATTAAATATAAAAATAATAAATTTAAATTTATTGCAAGACAGAGTTTTCTTTATTAATATAGTTTAATTTGTTTGAATCATGCTATTAACAAATAATTACTTCTATGCAGGCAATAGGGTGTTCATATTCAAGTTGTCTTCCCTAAATAATAGATAAAATTGAATACATGACATCATCAAATATTTCAAATTTTTACGAACCAAATCTGAAGAATGCATAGAATGAAATAATAAGTTTGAAGTTAATACTGCAAACCAGTTTAATTCAAATTCTATTCCATACATTTTATTTCTTTAAAAGTTTTTTACATTCAATCTTAATCGATAAAAGCCATCAAAAGATCAATTTTTACTTAATTTGATTCTAGAATCAAAAGTGGATTACATGACCTTTTAAACTTTCAAATCAGTCAATGTAAAATAAAGTAAAAAACCCAAAGAATGAATAAAAGTAACTGTTTTTCGTAAGCAAAGCACAATATTAGGTCACCAATGGAGCACTAGAGTTATGTAATTTTAATGTTTTTTAAAGTATATTACACCAACTAAAAAAATCAATATTAAAATTAAGAACAAAATGATCATTGATTTAGCTAAAATGTTGTGATACAATACATAAACAATGCGATACAATTTTGGCCTGTAACTTCAAAGCAACAATTCTCTTGAAACAATTCATTTAATGAATAAATCGACGAAGATTCAGAATGAAGTCGACCAGAAGGCTTTATAAGTCGAAATTAATATTTATAACTTGGTCGAAAATTTTAATTGATAAAGCAACACAAGTCGACAAAGTTTTCGAAAAAGGTTGACAATTTAAAGTTGTCAACAACAATCCAATTGTCGACAATGTGACAGCAAGAGTCGACACAAGGTTTCAATAACTCATAAGTTCATCGACTTATCCGATTGCTTGCTATCGACAGTTAGACAGAATCAGGTCGACAATGTAGATGTGACAGATAACGACTATAAGAGCAACAGGTCGACAATGTCCACTATTCTGGGTTGACTTCAGCTGACTGGTGAACAGCTGCGAAAAGTTCGCAAGTTTAGATTACTGAGTTGCAGTTGTGCAAATCCTGTCTGGGCGGCACAAGAGTATACTCTCTCTCTCTCTCTATCTATCTATCATTCTATCCTTCTTTCTCTCTCTTCCTGACTCTTTCTCTCTTTCTCGTTTTCTCTCTTGCTCTCTCTTTTTCTCTAGCTTTTTTCTCTTTTTCTCTCCTCTTTTTTCTTTTTCTATTTTTCTCTTTATCTCCACCCCCACCCTCCGTTTTTCTTTTTTTCTTTTTTCCTTGTCTCTCTTTTTTCTACCCTTTCTCTGATTTAAAATTTTTTTTCTCAAACATTCTAAACGATTTACCCCCAACCCTCCTCACACCTAAAAAACAAACTTACCTTACCAAAGCTAAAAAAGCAATTTTTCTATAAAAATAATAGAGATTTAATGTTTACTTTTGAATTTGACAGTGTTTCCTGAATCATCTATCATCTATTATTATTATGTATTTTATGTACGTACAATAAAGACGTGGAGAAACGATAAACTTTATTGTTTATATTCTTTACTCCCAGTAATTATCTAATTGAATATATGTTAAAGAAATATTTGAAATTAGGTCAAATTGTTGAGTTTAAGCACACGAGCAAAAAACAGGCAGTGTTTATTTCCACACTAACTTTATACAGGCTTAGAACTAAGTGCATAGATAAGAGCTAAAGCAACAAAATATGCATTTTTTAGAAGATTTATTTAAGATGTTTGCAATTTTCTAAAGTACTCGGGTTAAATCCACTTAAAGGAGATAAGAGATGTTTTTATAAGTTTATTTTTTTTCCAAGGTTCCAACTATTTGACTCGTTAAGCAACAAACATTTTTAAAAAGATATGACAAGTTTTGTCAACATTTTTCTGCAAACTATCTCCCTTTTTCCCGTATTTTTTTTCGCATTTTTGTACATAATTTCCGCAAACATATTTACCTCTACATAATTCATTAGATACTTTCCAATAGACTACAAAATTTAGAAATTAGACTACAAAATGCCCAAACACTTCGAAGTAATCTAGCTCGAGAATTCGGCTTTGCCTGGAGACTAAAATTTCCGTATTAAAGTCAACCAACTAACTTTTCTTTTAGCCCAAACTAAAACATTTTCCTTTATTTAACTACCCCCCCCCCACCCCCTCCTCCTCAGTCTCGAAATTAGTTTAAAATAATTTAAAATCATTATACAAGCAGATGTTACTCCAGTAAATTAATCATGCAAATTTTTAATGATTCTAACATTTTTTAAAAGCAACGTTAAATCTCGTATATAAAACACCAGCTTGAGAACACAGCTTTTCCTTAACTTTTCCCTGCAAAATTCAACCCAATCAACCAAGCCAAGACCATTCACATAATTCTACTGAGTTCCTCAGTCAAGTTTTTAGGTACATCGCTCCAGAGGTTCGTGAGTTATGATCAGACCAGACAGAAACAGAGGGATAGATTACTGCTTTATATATTTATAGAATATCTATATCCAATATCTATATATTTCTAATTTTAAAAAATAAGAAATAACTTTTTTTTCTTTTAAATTCAGATAGTGAGATACACTTACAAAAATATTTCCCAAAAACTGCAGACTTGATATTTTTTTGGGGGTTTTTATTTGATTAAAAATTATAATTTGCAATATATTTAGACAATGAAATTTTATTATTAAGTGATTTTCATACTGCACGCGTAGTGTTGGTGGTAAAAGTTCATTTTAGAATTAAAATCAAGAGTGTTGAGATAAATCGAATAAGTTGGTATTTTAATTTCATAATTTCATAATTGAATCTTTCCAAATTATCCACAACATGGTTATATGTTCTTGGGTTGACATAAAGAAGCTTCGAGGTTTAGTGACTTTTATTCTATATACAGGGTGTCCCACAAAGGTTGAAACTGTAAAGACGACCTAAAACTCTTGAAATATGACTATCCCAAGGTTTATTTAGGTTACCTGCCTAACATATAGTCTTTTAATGATTTAAGTTTAGCAAAGATAGAAGTTTACGGCTGCAGGAAATCATAAACAAAGAAAACAGACAATATAAATTACGTACAGTCGTCTCTGAAGTTTAATCCTTAGTGGGAAGCCCTGTATCTTAAAAATGTAATGTAACTTTAATTGTCCTTGCCGAAAATAGCTAAATTTTTAGTCTTTCTTCCGAACATCTGGAGCTTGGAGTCTGGAATTATTAAAGCAAAAGATACTAATTAAAAGTAAGTTAAAAACTTTTAAAAAGATGTAAAAGTTTGAGACGGAATTTCATTTTCTCCTTGTATCACGTTTAATTAAGTGCAACCAAATCTAAAGGAAACTTTCATATTTGTCTTTTTTAAAAGATCCTTTGAGGCCTTTATTCTAATCGAATTTGTTTTTCCGAGGTCGGGCAGTTACGGAATTTGCACTTTCCATCGGAATTGTTTTTCCTTGCAGTTCTGTTATTTTAAACATCTTCGCTGACGGTTAGGGTTCAATTTTAGTTTTTGAAAGTTTGTAATTATTTTTTATTTTCTAAATTACAACTTAAATTAAAAACATATATCTTTAAAAAAATATCTGCGTTATATGAACGCATAGACATTTGTTTATTTGTTCAGTACAACTGATTTTTTGAATAATTGTTCAAAAGTTCACACTTTTAAAACCATTTACATCCATAAAATATGGTTTCCTTTTATCTTTTTGGAAGTCGTTTTCATTAACTAGTTGTGGAATGTTTTTAACGTTCATTTATATTCATAATGATTGAGATTGAGGAATTACAATTTTTTTGTAAATCTTTACTGTTTATCTATTGTTCGTTAATTTGTGAATTGAACCCCCCTGCCTCAATCTTATTCATGCAAGAAACCTGTTTTATTTCCAAAGTATGATATGCAAAAATATTTAAAACTTAATTATCAAGTCTTTCCTTTCTTTCTGCAATCCCATAAATTAAGTTATTGCAAAATCATTCAGAATGTATATTTAAAATTTACACTCACGAAAAACTAAAGCCAATAAAGTCTAAACTAGATCGACAGGAGTGAGAAGGTCTATATTTTATGCGACATTACGGGTCCTACTTTGAAACGGCGTAGCTCATCGAGTTATTTTATGCAAATAATAGAAAAGTAAATTTATTCAATTACATAATAGATGCGTTTCTCAATAGTTAATAGCCTGGAGTTATGATTTACAACAGATTTTGCGATGTACTAAAGTTTGACGTCAATTTAGTTTTATCCTAAGACCTAATTCAATTTGGTTTTCATGACAATAAAAAAACGTATTTTTGCAATCCTTTTTATTAGGGCGCAAAATGATAAACTTCTTTCTTGTATATATAGTGTTCGGTGTGAGCGACTTCTAAATTCTACATAATATATTGAAGAAATCACATGGTGCAAGGCAATGCAACCTTTTTGCATTTTCCGAAAGAAACTGCAAGTCAGCCAAATCAAAATACAAAAATTAAACTCGTATTTGGCAAAAGTTTAGTGCATGAGATATGTATTCATTGCAAATGTTGCATGCAGAAAAGTTAGAAAAGAGATAATCCAGCCAGACAACTTTCAAGGCTCTAATCATTATCAACATCAAATCTTACGAAAAATCAAAGATGAATTTTTCATAATTAGGGTATAAATGGATAAGGCAATAGATGCTTTGAAAGGCTCATGCATAGCATGCTCATAACATCTTGTATGTAAAACTTTTTTATAAAACCTTAAAAATGTAATTGAATCCATTAATCTAAAATATTTTAATGCGATTTTAAAAATAAAATTAAAAATTCCATGAAAAATGATTTATAATAGTATAGGAGGAGAGAGGGGGTTTCTTGATGGGAGTTTCCCGTTGGCTTGTTGAAGAAAGCATTAAGGGGGGGGGGGTAATTGCTCGAAAAAGTGGCTGATAGTTTGAAATAGTTTTGCACCTGATCATTAATCATTAATGGCGTATTTGTCCCAACTTTCAAAC